TTCTCCTGACCCAAATCCAGTTATTGTCTATTATTCCATCACAACAATAACAATTACTATCAACACTGCAGTACCCGCTGCTTACTTGGACTCGAATTCCACGCAAGCTCGGTGGTCTAGAGGTATGATGCCAGGCTAGTGATCTGGAGATCGTGGATTCGAGTCCCACCCGAGAACAACTTGCAATTTTTTTCGCAGTTGTATTCAAATGTACTGAGTATTCGGTACATTTCCACGTCAGGTATGGCAAAATTACACCTATACATGTTTCTCCTGACTCAAATCCAGTTATTGTCTATTATTCCATCACGACAATAACAATTACTATCAACACTGCAGTACCCGCTGCTTACTTGGAAATTCAACCCTGGCCATCAGGCGCAAGCTCAGTGGTCTAGAGGTATGATGCCAGGATAGTGATCTGGAGATCGTGGGTTCGAGTCCCACCCGAGAACAACTTGCAATTTTTTATTCGCAGTTGTTTTCAAATGTACTGAGTATTCGGTGCATTTCCACGTCAGGTAGGGCAAAATTACACCTATACATGTTTCTCCTGACGCAAATCCAGTTATTGTCTATTATTCCATCACGACAATAACAATTACTATCATGATAATAATAATAATAACAATAATATCTTTATTATTATCAATATCATTATTAATGTATTATAATGTACTGTATTATCAATATTATAGATTATTATGAGCGACTGGTTTACCTCTTAATATCTTAACTCCAGGTACCCAGAATGCAACAGCTTGCCCTGTTGGCACAATGAACCCATCAGAAGGAGGAGCCTCATTGGACGATTGCTTGCCCTGTTTGCCCGGATACTACTGCGAAACTCCTGGATTATCTGAACCAACAAATGTTTGTGCTGAGGGCTTTTATTGTCCAGGTTATGCCGAAATCTATGTACCTAACCCTTCAGAATATCCTTGCCCTGTTGGTCATTACTGTGAAAATAACACAGGAACACCTAAAGGATGTCAACCAGGTATGAATATTAATGAGCTATATGAATATTTATTAACTGTTTTCATAAATATGAATATTCATGATGGGATCTTTGTTTTTGACAATTCATACCTGATAATGAATAATATAATGAAATGAATGTTTAATAAACATAATGATAATTAATAAACATGATAATGAATATTTATATTGTGATAATAAAGTTACTATCATCATATCGTAATTATTGTTTTTTTAATTAAATTTTGTTTTACCTCTTCAGTATTATGTTAGAATTTATTACATGTTTTTATATTATTTAAATTTTAACCAATAGGAACTTACCAGCCCCATGAATTTAGTACCGACTGTGACGTTTGCCCAGCAGGACGATACTGTATGTACAACACCAGCGTACCAGAACCATGTCCAGCATACAACTATTGTCCAAAAGGCACCATCACTCCATTGTCTTGCTCCAATGGCACATACACCGAGGACGATGTCACAGGCCTGTCAGACCCTGAGTCCTGCCAACAGTGCCCTGCGGGTACTGACAAAATATTAATTTCTGATTTTCTGATTGCACATAAAAATTGTTAATTATTTGACACCTCATTATTAATATAGCATTGAAATTGTTGTAACAGTAACATTTTTATTATCACCATCATAACATTATCATCATATCATCATTATTTTCATTTTCCACGGTCGTCAATTCATCATTCTTAAAATCATTACTTCAACTTCGTCATCATTATGACCACTATAATAATCATCACTTCACCATCACCTATCGTTGTCACTATTATCATTTTCATAAACATAATCTATAATACAGATGGCAATGGTTGGAGACATAGTGCATAATACTTGGTCTTTATGTGCTGTTGAGAAAACAAAAGTAGCAAAATCTATTCTAGTAGTTCAACTAAGCAAACCATGCTGAAATAAATATCTGAACCAGAGTAATGCAGAGGAACCAACACTATTGCACCATTCCCCTCCGGTTTGAGACCACAGATTAACAAACAATTATTAACACTGTCTGCAATCAGTTATTTTTACCATCTTATATTTAGCGATTTATATCTATTAGAAAATAGAAGTTTATAAAAATGAGATAATTATCATCATGGTTTATGTTACAACATAATTCTCTTCAAAGGGCGTTATTGTGTTGGGGGCTACAATGCCGGTCCTTGTAGTGCAGGATACATTTGCTACAGTGGTTCCGACACGCCGACACCAGACGGCTCCAACAGTGATGTTGGTGAGCCATGTCCATTTGGTTACTACTGCTTAGAAGGTATTAACTTGTTTTGATTATATTTACATTTGCACTGTAAATGCTGAATAATATATTATTATGCCAAGTTTTTCTATGTAGAACCTACCTATCAAAAATAATGGAATAACCCACCACCTTATAAGTGTGCCTCTATCCATATCCACACTTCTCTGTTCACATAACAGCAGAGTAAATGACAGTGTTTTCCTGTTTTTTAGAAACATATATAAATATACTAAAGTAAAGTGTTTTTAGTTTGTATTGTATAAATGCATAAGAGTGTAATTTCATAATTCACTTATATGGGAGGAAATTTTACATTGTTTTTTTATTTATGTTTTGTTGTTTGATTGCAGGAGCAAAGAATGTATCGACATGTGACCCAGGAAAAGTTATCTCCTTTGAAGGAGCTCGGAGTGAGAGCGAGTGTGCAGTATGTCCTGCTGGATACATATGTTCCGAGGATAATCCACTTCCAGTGCCCTGTACTCCAGGTAATTTTTTTTTAATACTTACCTGGATAAAACTGTATATGCAGTAATGTAACAAAGATGCCTTAAGCTCCTAGCTATGGCTTTTTTGGGCCCTACTAGTACTACCCTGGGGGCTGAGGTAGGGCCCTAGTGAGGTATTGGGCAAAGCCCAATCCACAGTGGTGTATTTGATATGTTAAAAGGGATTATTTGGATGTAATTTTTACACTTTTTAAGCATTAAAGGGCCCATCTGGTCAGTTCATGGCCTATGGTCCTAGCAAAAAAAGTTGTGATGACATCTCATGGCCACTGTATTTAACAAATGAGAGCTCATAGGCTACATGCCAAGTTGTTCTTCTTGGAACCCCTCAAAACTAGTAGAATCCAGCAACTTGTTACTGCGTTTCAGCAGTTTCGGCCTAACGATTAAGAACCCAGTGTGTGTAAAAGAATGACTTAATGTAAGCATGTAAATATTGTTGAGCTAATATGACTTACCTTATAAGTGATTCAAATTTATTTCAGGTTATTATTGTGAATTTGCAATGGACCCACAACCTTGTCCTAACACAACTTACTCTTATGAGGAAGCTGCCACTGACTTCAGCACCTGTTCTCCGTGTCCACCTGGATACTGGTGCAACATGGAGGGTAAGTTAAGCAAGAGAACAGCACAAAAATAGAATTATATTATCACATATGTGGCAAAGACAAGCCAAACCAGTCACTCGTTGCAAAAATCAATTGTTAGTTATTAATACAGGTTTAAATCTGGTAAAAGAATCATTTAAATATGACATTTCGTTATGAAGTTACAGGAGTTTAAACATACAGCTGTTTAAAGAACAATATTTAAGAAATCAGACTTCAAAGTTTAATGATTTTGGGCATTTCTCAGGCAGACACCACCACCAAATCGTTAAAAATTGTTGTTTTAACATTGAACATGGAGAAATCAACAGCATAGCATAATATATAGATATATAAAGGTTAGTTTAATGCAATAAAATAGATTTCAAACATTTTGACATTCCAGACTGTTTTGGACATAATCTCTGAAACAGGATTTGCGATGAGTGACTGGTTTGGCAATAGTATCATTTATACTCATTAGAGAAATTGTTTTTATCTTGATTTTCCTGGGCTTCTGTTTATAATTACATTTTTTTAAATAGTATAATAATTTATTAGTTGTATATGCTCAAATTGTATAATTAGTTGCGACAAAAACTGGAAAAGTATATTATACATATGTCTGAAGACAATTTTTTTCATACATTAATGGCTCCTTCAGATCACTGTTTTTTAACAACTCTTAAATCTTTACGTTTATCATTTTTCTAGCAATGACAAACTATACCATTAGTCCATGTCCAATTGCTCACTTCTGTCCAGAAGCAACTGATTTTCCAATTGAATGTCCACCAGGAACCTATCGGGATACGCAGGAAGCAGGAGGTAAGTATCCGATTCTGAGGTTCTTTAAGTCTGGAGTATGTCAGTCAATCAATCAGTCTGTCAATCAATCAATCAATTTAATGAAATCAATGAAATCGGTTAGTCAACCTATCAAAATAATGTCTGTTGCACTAACATGAACTACATGAAGTAATGATTTTGTATATTGTATTGTATAATTTTTTACAAATACATTGTTATTATTTAAGTTTTCTTTAATCAGGGTGGGACCATTAAGTGACTAGCACTGCTTTCCAAGGAAGCACTAGTACATAAATATAGCAAAAATATAAAGAAAATATGTTTTTGAAAAATGATTTTAAAATAATTCTTTCATTCTGCTTCTATTATAGACCAGGCTGACTGTCACCTTTGTCCAGCTGGCTACTATTGTCCAAATGATACGGCCAATCATTTCGGTATTGAATGCTTAGATGGTCAGTACTGCCCACAAGGATCATGGGAACAGCATGATTGCCAACCCGGTTTCTACTGTGAGTTAGCAAAGACTCAAGTAGCATGTCCCGGTGGAAGCTATTGTCCAACTAACTCCAGTTCACCACAGCCATGCCCAGCCGGACACTATTGTGGTGGAGATGACTGTAATAATACGGTACCGTGTCCCGGAGCCATCACGCCAAAGAAGTGCCCGCTTGGATACCGGCAGATTGATGGTTCATTGCAAATCACATTCGATGATACCTGCGAGCCCTGTCCAGCTGGTCAGTTTGGAAACGAGCCAGATCGTCAGTTCTGCGAAATTTGTAGAGCTGGAGTTGTGTGTTTAGAGATGGCTATAACAGATTTACCACATGGAAATGAGACCAATTATGGTGTTAATAAAACAAATTCTTTCCCTTGTCCAATTGGTAAGTACTCTGGGTGTAGTTTTAGTTATTTTCTTCAGTATTTCAATTGGTGTATTATTTCTATAATGATAATTAATATTTTATTAAAAAATAATGTCTTCATATTCATTTTTGTAAAATATTGTGTAGAATGTAGAGGATTTTTTTTTAATTCCAACCTAAAGCTTTGTCCAGACTATTAAATTCCTGTCTTGGATTTCTTCGTAGGCTACTATTGCCCAGCAAACTCCTCTGAACCAACTCCCTGCCCAGTTGGAACTTACAATGATGTTGAATACGGTGAATCTTTGGATGACTGCCATCTTTGTCCAATTGACCATTTCAACCATCTCACTGGTCAACCAGGTTGCTTTCACTGCGGTAGCGAGGCATATCAACCAAATTTAGGTGAGTCCGAATGCCTGTGTAGCGGCTCTGGTAGAGAATTCCAGCCAAGCGACAGGCAGTGTCCATGTGCTCATGGTTACGAAACACTAGCTGGACGAGAACAAGACTGTGTTAAACATCTTTATGAACTTTGCGGTGAAGGCACGTCTCGAACGCAGAGTGGTGCATGTTTGAATGATGCTGGCTGGGAACAATACTGCAAGGAAGAGGTAAAATATTTATTATTGTTTTTTAAGCATTGAAATTCACTGAAATGTTTTTAGCCTGTTACAGGATGGCCAGAATAGGATACGAAATGGATTGGATTTTTTTTTGGTGTGACAGACATATTTCTAGGAGAGTTCATCCAGTGGTGAATTGGCAGAACCTTGGGATTGAAAAACAACCATCTTATCTACTAAATAAAACTGTTTGCTAGGTGGATTCTTTTCTCTGATTCGTAAATACTTACCTGCATAAACTGACTACAGTGCACCCTCCAATTTTAGACCTCTCTAATTCTGATTCAAAAACTAAGTAAAGACTAAACCCCGAGACCACCCCAAATTTTGATGTCCTAAAGTGGTCTCAATTTGGAAGGGGCGAACTGTGTTGCCATTTGTGTGTGCATCTTGGTGATAAGACAAAATTCCTGATTATTTCTCTAGGGCTGTCTGTCTCCAGACAAGTACATTGGCTATGACATGGTCCTTGCTCTCTGCAAATGTGAGGTCGATGACTTGCAGGAGATTTGCGATCTTCAGTGTCGACTAGCCCAGAGAAATACCATTACCATGGTGTGTGAGGATGAGCCGTACATTAAGGTGGAATTCAGCGATACTGGACAAAATGTGAACATTCCAGTGTCCAGTCTGACCAGGGTTATCAACTCAAGAAATGCTTTGACCATTGACCAGTGTGAATCTAATGACGGGACAGAGTTAACTCTACATTTGGTGGAAATGGGAGGTATTTACATTTCATTTATGATAGTAATTTTTAATTTTAATCTATAATATTGATAAACCAAAAAGTCATTCTGGTGTATTTATCACAGAAATGTTAATGATTATTTAAAAATCAGTGTACTGGAATTAGAGGAGACTTTTTAAACTCTGTGCAGACTCTTAGACAAAAAAACTGTCGTATACCTATATATAGTGATGATGCGCCTATATAAGGTCATGATGTGATGTCATCACGACCATATTTATGCTTAAATTTATAGTTTGGATAGGGCTTTACTTGAACAAATTTTTTTTATAAAGATAATGGATTCCTCGGAGTATACACCCCAGACCCAACACAAACGGTGAATTTGCTGCTTGCCAACACCAAGGGTGATCTGAACGTCACACTGCCCACTAGCAATGCTACTGTGAATTCTCGTAGACGCAGAGATATCAGTAGTATTATGCGCCACCTGTTGGCCGATTCAACAAATCCCGGGTCAACCTACAGTGGCATCGAGAACCCAACTGTTTGCTTGTTGTATGGGGAAACCATGATGTTCAGTGTTGACAATACTCATTATCCAGTTTATGATAGGTATGAGGTCTATTTTTTAGTTTTTCTTAACTCACCATTCGGTGGCATTCCGAATCTAGGGAGTGTGTTCCCCAACAAAAAAGCTTGCGTTCCCCAGTTTTCCCCTTCCCCCATTGAAAATGTCAAAAGCATTGGAAGGCCAATATCTTGAAGCCAGGCTCCAGAGGGAAAAAAATGTTGATATGATGAAAAAGGGAATTAACACCATTTTTTCTACCTCCCTTCCTCCCCCCCCCCCCAGTTTTTAAATATTCAAAAAACTGTATATCATTAACCACTTCGAGTATTTTGTCAAATGTACATTTTGTGTCTCAGAAAAATCAGTGTAACATCAACAATTTCTTTTGCTCTGGAGCCTGGCTTTAACCACCAATATACAGCCCTCAGCTCTGCTTTAGCTCTGAGAAATATTATTTAAACAATGTCCAATAATTTCATAAAAATCAGAGTCATGGTAAAACATGCTCATATCAATATAGTACCCATTTCTTTTTCCCCTGTTCTGCCTGCCATGTTTTTTTTTTGTTTTTTTTTTGTGTATGTTATTGTTTAATATTTTATACGTTAAAACAATTTCTTGCATTAATGTTCAAATATGACTTATTTTCAGGGACAACCTTTACAATACAAATGAGCAGTTTGATTATGGTGGGTTCCGTGAGCTGGAGGAGTTACAAAGTCAAATAGGTACCACCACCACCCTCTTCTCCTACAAGTTCATTCACCCCGGTGTTTACGTCTTCTACATGAGTGACAGCCCAAACAGAAAGATGGTGAGTAAACAGTTTTTTTAGTAACTTTTTTATATTTTTAGGAAAGTTTATGTCTGTGTCTGCTTTTTCCGCCTTTTTGCTGAGTTTCTCAAACAGTCTAAGGTCTTGCTTTGTGACCGTACTGGTCTGTGTAAACTCATGTACGATACAGCCAAACTTCTGAAAAGAAAGAAATCAAGATGGTCAGACATGTTTCTAAGTATTCAATACAACATCTTCAGTGTAATTAAAAAACCAATACAAATATCCCAAGGTTTATATACCTTTGTAGATATTTAAATTCATAGTAGTTTTTAAAATTTTTTATATTAAAAATGAATTTTAAAATAGTTAAATTAAATAATTGTGTCTTACCTCATAGTTTTATCTGTACGTCTTTGTTTTTTTACAGTATATAAGAGTGATGGCAGAGAATGCGCAGTGCTCGGAAGATGGTCCATTCTTTCCAACGACACCACGTTACATTGTGCAGAATGGAATTGCCCTGGAGAATGATATCCTTCTGACGCCTGACTGGCTTCTCATCGGAATCATGATGGCATGTGTCCTCTTCTTAACGATTCTACTCATCATTGCTTTGGTAAGTTCACACCTTAAAATGGCTGTGTTCGTGGACATACAGATTAAAACCTTAGTGGCCAACCACCTTTCGGACAATCACCGGATGTTAAAATTTGTTTAAAAAATCAGGATTATTTTAGGCCCATATTTAAACATTCTGTTTATTTTATCTAATTTTCTGGTGTATTTCATTAATACTTACCTATTTATATGCACCTCCTGTGGTGTAAGGTTCCATTATTTTCTGGGTAAGTTCCAAAAAGAAAACTGGCATATATGGGTAAGACAATATATATATATTGTCTTACTCATAGTCTACCAATGTCATAGCTGATTTGTGTAATTTTGATATGGAACACAATGAATACAAGCTTGCCAATAGGAATATGTATTTTATTTATGATACTCTGTAGAAATCATTGTTCACAGTTTTTATTTTAAATTACCTAAACTATCTTTTCTTGTTGTAGATGCTCTTCCGTAAATATGGTTGGGAGAAGGTCAGTTACATTCGACCTAAGTACCGAGCTCTCACCAAGAAGCATAACTTTGATGACTACTCCTCAAAAGGATCGGCGGTACATCACGTTAAAAAATACAACCGAAATCTTGAGGCACGCAACGACCAACCTGACGGAGCTGAAGCCGGAGTCATTTTTTCAAATGGTGACTACTACTACTCTTTATTGAAGGATGGGAATGTATTGTTTTAATATACACTGCATGCGACAGAAACTGTATGTTTGGTCGTAGTTAAAATACTGTATTTAAATAGCACAATATAAATATTTTACACTGATGGGCAACTAGAGTAAAAGTCATAATTGATATTTTATCTGTGGTAAAAAACATTGAATAGTTAAGTTAAAGGTCTCAAATATACTAACTTCCATTGAGACAGAAATCAAAACATTTCAGTTTTTGGTATTTGGCAGACGTCAAATTGATATATTATCTGGCATGCAAATGGATATTATTATAATTATTAAACTGATGTCATTTCCTGTTTAATAGATGAAGTTAAAACAGATGAATTCTGGGACTATGATCGTCAAGTTGATCTGGAGGGCTTCAGTTCTCCTAGGTTCTATGATCATCTTGCAAAGCAATCACGTCACGTTGCATCAGAACTAGGCAGACAAAAGGAAGAGGTAGCTACATCCATCTGTTTATTGTTTTGATTTTCATCAGCATTTCAACTTTCAATTTATGGTGCTAAACTAAAGGCATCATGTCAGAAAACCAGTATTGCTGGGTTAATATAACTCTGATGTCTTTTAATTTCTTTTTTTCTTACATAGGCAAAAGCATTGTATCAGAAAATCAACAATCAAACAGAATCTTTGAAAGGATTATGGGTAGCTAAGATGAACCTTTCAGGAAGGTCAGCCTTGGCAACCAGCCAGGATCTAGCAGACTATGAAAAGAAGAGTGAAGAGGTAATGCATAGCACTCTGGATGCCTTATCTTTCAGATAGACAGTTAAGCTGTTGTAATGTATATAATGGATGTTTACTATGGAAATTCTTGTGGTCCAGTACCCATTGATCTTTCTGCTAAGCCTAAACCCCGTGGGTATTGTTGGTAAGGTCCTACAAAATGACAGTGTAAAAACATACGCAAGTGTTTGTAGGACACATACTGTAAATGCTCAAATATAAAATTTTTGGAGGCTTCAGTGCAGCGCTTATTCGAGAGCGGCGCTTATTAAAAATATATTGGCGTGGCGCTTTCCATTGTGCCTATATTACCTATCTCACGTATTCCCATAGTTCGGTAGGACTATCATAGACCCTACACCATCGTAAATAAACGTTTTGAAAGACACAGTACGCTTGTGTCTTGATTGTGTTATTTATTCATTTGAATGCTGTATTACCATATTTCTAAAGTGTTTCACTGCACACATGCGCTTATTCACTCAAATAACTTAGCGCTGCGGCGCTTATTTGAAAGCGACGGTTAGCGAAAAAAATCATGTTTGGTGTGGCGCTTATTTGAGAGCGGCGCTTATTCGAGCATTTTTTAGTACCTATTCCTGGCTCCGTTGTGAGTAGTGGTCAATGGTCCAGTACTTGTATAGCGCATTCCACTGTAGAAGACATTTCAAGGTGATTTTAGTGATTGGTCAGTTGATAAGTTTGACACTCCAGAATGTTCTATTGAAGATTGTCGCTTGCTTTAGGCTGTTAAAAAGTTTTATGTGAACATGTAAATTATCAGATGGCATAAATTAATATCCATATATGCTTATTATCGTTTAATCTTCCTTTACAACTTTGTCTTAGCTTGAGATTGAACTTGAACGCCGCAAAGAGCTTGGCCTCAGATTTGAGGCTGTACTTAAGAAGCAGAGTGAACTGATGAAACACGATGAGCAAGGACGTGAAGAACACCAGGTAAATTTACATATTACAATAACATTAGTACTAATAATTACATTTATTGTTTTTTAGTTCCTATGCATGTAATGCAATAGGAACTATTGTAATCACTCTTGCTATTTCCTATGTTTTTTATTGTGTGTAGTGTGTATGTGTGTGTGTAGACATTTATGCAAATGCGCATGCGTTTATTATCATTATCATCATCGCTGTCATTATCATTATCATTACTGGTGTTATCATCATGCAATGAATTTCTTCAAATGCATGTAATTAAGGAGATGTGAAATAAAATATATCACAAACTAAAAAATTCTCTGACATGTGCTTGTGCATTTGAAACTATGAGATTGCTTAATGTATTTACATCTTTTCTACCACGTAGGTCCTGATGGCAGCATACTGCATCCAGATCTGATACATGTCGACAAAGCTACCAACCTGATTGTGCCCAACAGCGAGGCTTCAATGATAATGGTCAACGGCGAAGTCTGTGAGGTGCCTCCAGAATTCTTCTTGCATCCACAGAGCTGTCGTGTGATGCCAATTCAAGGCAACGTGGCTTATGATCCAGTGTCCTCAAGACTTGTCTTTACCATTGATTCTGCAACAGGTTAGATAATTTGCATATCATTATAATGAATTATTATACATGTTTCTGTATCTGCTCCATTCCTTTATCTGTCTCTTATACACATCTAGATGTGTATAAGAGACAGAGGCTGTACTTAAGAAGCAGAGTGAACTGATGAAACACGATGAGCAAGGACGTGAAGAACACCAGGTAAATTTACATATTACAATAACAATAATACTAATAATTACATTTATTGTTTTTTGTTATTGTAATAATATTTTCATTGATAATTATTGTAATTGTAAATAATTTATATATTGTGGTTATTAATGTTTTAATTTTATTTTTATAATTATTATTATTAGTTATTGTTATTATTGTTATTATTATTAATGTTATTGTTATTGTTTTAGGTTGCTTTTATGGCAAGTGCCCGTGAGTCAGTACGTCTTCTCAATGAATGCTCTGAAAAATTAGCAAATGGGCCTAGTAGCCCAGGTGAAGAGGAACTTGACAGCAAAATGATAAGAAAGTAAGTGAAGTTAAATTGGCTGAGTTTGTATATAGGAATATAAATTAGTAGCTTCTGCCCACTATTTGTTTCATCACAAAGTAATTCAAAATATCAACTTGTTTTCTACAGTGTTTCTGGACGTGTTGGTGCGTTATTGAACCGAATGGCTACTGACGTTGGAGGTGAATGCCAACGGCTCGGCACATGGGGTGTCCTTGGTGAAGGCACAGGGGCACAGCTTGTCAAGCCAGGCACTGACACTCTGCCAATTATTAGAGAAGAATTATTTGGTACGTTTGAAGCTATTTTTTTTTCTTTTTTCAAGCATTTAATGCAAGATGAGGTAAACAGCAGTTTACAGACAAATATCATTATCATCATCATAGCATCATTATCTTCATTATTTTTTTAATAGATCATTATCATAACATCATAGTCATCAATTATCAGTCACCACCATAATCATAATCATCTTTTCATTAATCTTTATCATCATCATAACCATCATCACTTCACCATTATTATCATTATCATCATCGCTGTCATTATCATTATCATTACTGGTGTTATCATCATGCAATGAATTTCTTCAAATGCATGTAATTAAGGAGATGTGAAATAAAATATATCACAAACTAAAAAATTCTCTGACATGTGCTTGTGCATTTGAAACTATGAGATTGCTTAATGTATTTACATCTTTTCTACCACGTAGGTCCTGATGGCAGCATACTGCATCCAGATCTGATACATGTCGACAAAGCTACCAACCTGATTGTGCCCAACAGCGAGGCTTCAATGATAATGGTCAACGGCGAAGTCTGTGAGGTGCCTCCAGAATTCTTCTTGCATCCACAGAGCTGTCGTGTGATGCCAATTCAAGGCAACGTGGCATATGATCCAGTGTCCTCAAGACTTGTCTTTACCATTGATTCTGCAACAGGTTAGATAATTTGCATATCATTATAATGAATTATTATACATGTTTCTGTATCTGCTCCATTCCTTTATACAGTATTGTGACCCATTGAATGACTAATTATAGTAAAAGTAATGTATAGTTAGTGATTAAACAAACTTAGCTTAATATTTTTTATGAGCAAGTAAAGTTGTTTTGATGTATTTTTTCTTAGCATTGCTCTGTATTTAATTGATTTTAATGATTCATCATATAAATTTGTAATCATAATTATGATAAAAGTATTTATTAATATTAGACCACAATTTACGTAACCAAGTATGGTCAGATCCAAATATTCTCCATGTAAAAATATGTAAATATAATTAATATTCTTGTTTTCATTGTAGGTGAAACAGTTCGATCAGATGAACCACTGATTCCATTTATACCATTCCCAACTGATCCTAACACTGGACTCTCAGTTGTGTCAAACCTGACTAGCACTGAACATAGCAGTGACATAAAATTGAATGCTCCAATGGTTGACCCAGAAACAGCTCTCAAGTGTCCCATACTCTCAGTCACTATTCACCCCCAGACTGGAGTGGTGTACCCAGTTGGTGGTACTCACACTGACCCTGTAACTGGACTACCCATTCCTATTGAAGTTGGTTCCTTGATGATTGATCCGAACAGTGAACAACCAGTGCCAATTCTAAGCATTGGTATTGATCCTGAAACTGGTGATGTCATACCTTTAGGTGGTATGCTTGAACCAACAGAAAATGGTGGAATGACACCAATGATTGCAGGCTGTAAGTATGTGGATCCATTAAGTGGGAAGGTTCTGCACATACAAGGAGGAAGAATTGAGGGAGATGATGTTTTGTCAACTGGTGGTGGATACCAAATTCTGTTGGATTCTTCTGTTATGGCATGTGAAATCCGCACTCTTGATGCTATCAAGCTCTATCTGGATGCTATAACTGGACCAGAAGGTGCTAACTGCCGACATGAACAGTCTGTTGTAGAAGGGGCAGTCAAAGAGATGATTAAAGCACGATTGAAAGCAAAAGGAAATCTACTTCGTTCTGTACAGGATGTTGAGCGAAGGCTTGAAAGAGCTTCAATCTTGACCACTAATGGTGGTTCTCCTGGAATGTTTGAATTTGCTGGAACTGGCCAACTTCTTCCCATCTTAGTAGGAACAACAATGAGAGATCCTAGTGGATCTGGACAAGAGGTTCCAATTCTTGGTGTTGAAAAAGAGGGAGTAACTGGAAAACTTATCCCACTTGGTGGAACAATGGAAAATCCAGAGGGATTAGGACTGATACCAATTATGATTGGAAAGCCTGCCATTGATCCAGTAACTGAAGAACTTAGTCCGATTGTTGGTGTAAAAATAAGTAATGTGACAAAAACGGTGGTTCCTGTGACTCTAGCATCTGACAAAAAGAAAAAGCCACCACTAGGAGCAGTTGCTATGCTCGAAGATGAAATTGTTGCAAGACGTGGTTTCTGGCGTAGGCAGAGACAGCGTGAGGAGGAACTTACTACAATTGAATCAAAATTATCTAACAACCTTCTAAATGAAATGGACAACATTACAGCAAAAAATGTAGAAAGTGGATTGAAATCTATTATTGAAGGAACTACAGAATTAGAGAATGCAGCTAAGCGAGAGGTAAAGCGTAGAACAACTTCTGAAGAAGACCATAATGGCATTCTTCCCAAGTATGTGTTGTCTATTCTTATGAGAGGGGATGATTTGGAACGTCAAAGTGAAGAAAGACATCATAGCGCTCACAAGAAATTTGTTGATACCATACAAAAACTTTACAGTAAACTGCAGTCAGAAGAAAGCCGATACCACGAAAGGAAAACAGAACTTGAAGGAACATTGAATCCTGATGCAGTTTCTGCTGTAGAGCACCGCTACAGACAAGCAAAGTCACGTCTCCAAAGTGAACTTTTTGATCAACTTCTAACACGCACAGAAAATCTTGATGAGGATCATGCTTCTCTTGAGTATTCACGTGAAAGATCTGAATTGCTGAGCACTGAAGCAAAACTCGTTCTGACCAATGCAACGTTCATTGCTGGATTTTATGATGCCACTTTTTCAGGTGTTTATGGAGATCTTCTTATTTTTGAAAGAGCTGGAAGAGATGTTATTCCTTTACTGAAGCGACTCATTGCTATGTTGGAGAGTGGAGCTCATTTTAGTATTTCATCAGAAATGCTCCAAGAAGCATCTGGTTCTTATGCTGCAACAGAGTTAAATATCATCCATAATCAAATGGCAACTACAGCTGTTGCAACATCTCCAATGGCATACAACCACATAAATGTTTCGAAGGTACAGCCGGCAAATGACATCAGAAAGATTCAGACACAGCTTGTTAGTAGTGGAACAGAGAATATTCGTAGTGGACTCTCAGTACAAGGAGCTCATGCTTCATTGACTGATGACTCTAAGAGGGAATTAGCTAAGACCTTGACTGAAAGGCAAACTCTGGAAGCAGTCAGACTTGAAAAAGAACTAAAAGCAAATGAGGTTAAGGCTGTAAATGATGTGATACAGAACTATGAACAAAAGAAAGAGGCAATGCTGACAGCGAGGCGGGATGAGTTAAAGAAGCAGCTGCGTGATGCCAAGTCTGAGGAAGAGAAGGAAAGAATAATGACAGATTTTGTTGAACAAACTGGCAAAATGGCAGATGACCTCGAACAAGAAAAGCAGCAGCAAATGGAACATCTTAAGAAGCGCTTACAACAGAGAAGATTACAAGCTAAGCAGGCCTTACACAAGAAGCATATAGCAGAGGCCAAGAGGGAAGGTCTAGGAGAGGATGTTGTTCCAGATATCAATCTAGATGACAGCGAAGCTGATAAAGACTTGCAGCTTCTTATGCTGCAACAGCAAAAACTTATTGCAGATCTTACAAAAGCATATGCAGAAGAGATGGCTGAGGAAGAAAGAAAGCGGAGAGGAGGATTAGATGAGCAAATGGAAGAACGTATGAGGCTTTTAAATCTGGCACATAAAGGACCTCAGCTTAAGGAATTAGTAAAAAATGTATCACAACAGACGTCAGATACAAGCAAAGTAAATAATGCTATGAAAATGAAGATGAAAAACCGACTGAAAAATCGAAGAGGTACTCGAAAATCTGACCTACCTGCAAATATTGAGGCTGGTTCTAAAGAAGAGGAGCAGTTCAGAGTGGCAGAGGAAGCTCAATTTGATGCTGATGGTATGAGGAGTTTAGCTGTTGCTATGAGTGTCTCTGAAGAACTGGCAGATGAACAGCAATTGGGTTCGCACAGAAACACACTTCAAACCTTACTAAAGAAAGATAACAGAACTGAAGAGGAAAAACAAGCAATTCTAGACCAGTATTTTGAAGATGTCAGAGGAGAGCAGGTAAGTTTTGCTGCTAATCAAAACCTGCAAAGGGAACATATGATGGCAAAACTTGCTGCTAGAAAACGTCTGAAGGAAGAGGTAGCCAAAGAAAATGCTGTGAGCAAGGAACTTGATCACATTAGCAAGAAACAAGTGCTGCGTGGTGAGACAGATGGAGCACAGGCCATTGATGCAATTCGTGACAAGGTTTCATCTGATGATGCTAGACAAGAACAACAAAAACTCCAACAGAACCAAATAGAACAACAGGCAAATCTCCACATTAAACAGTTAGAATATGAAACAAAGTTGAAAAAAGAACTTAATGATGAACTTGAAAGGTCTCAAAAGAAAATTGAAGATCAATTTGAAGAACAGAAGAATAGAATAAAAGAACAAAATAATGCTGAATTCGAGAAAGAACTTGTTCTCACAAAGAAGAAATTGTCAGATGAACAAATGAAGGAGTTGATGGAACAGCACAAGAAAGAGGTAATTTCTGTAAAAGTACACAATTTGTAATATATCATTTTAGATTTAAATTGAAGGAACACTCAAAGAATATTATGAACTATAAAATGATATTTAAAAATGGTTTGGATGTTTTTTAGATGGACAATTTAACAAGAACAATTGATCATGAGAAGGATCGCCAAAAGAAAATTCTTGCTGAAAAAGTTGCTGAAAAGAAAAGGAAGAAACTTTTGGGTATGAAGGAGAAACATCAAAATGAGTTGGAGGGAGTACTTCTCCAGCAACAGCAAGAAAGAGATGGCTTAAGTGATCAACAAGTATGTACAGACTAAAATTAAAGTTTTCTAACCTAAATATTTAATATACTGTAGATAGATAACAAAAAATTGCTTAACCTATAGTTTAAGACATTTTTTTCCAATTGGTCATCACCTTTTTAATACATTTTCTAATCTTTCTCTAGCAACGACTTGTTGAACGTCCGACTCTAGAGGAATCCCTTGAAGGAGAGGATGGCAAAAAGGCAGAAAGCATCATCTACCGTGTTCTGAAGCAACGTCACATCAAAGAACAGGTTCACCAAGAGGAACTGATGGAGAAACAGCGTGCAGCAGAGATCGCAAATGCTCGTGCAAACATGACCGATAAACGAATGCAACAGCGCGACGTTCTTGAAGAAGCTCAACAGAAGGAGTTTATGGAGCTTATTGCTACATCTGGTTCCCTAACTGCTACAGATTTAGCAGAAAAGAAGGAGGATCTTCAGAGACAACACAAGGTAAGCTTCAAAACAAAATTAATTTGTTATATTTCTACATGTGTTACTAAGGGTAGACAGGGTTAAAGTGTTTAATAAACTGAACTCATAAATTGCCATCACTCCTGATTTTACGAATTTTTACATTCCCTACTTAATAGAAACAACTAGCTGAGTTTGACCGTGTCACTACTCAGAGAATTGAACAAGCTGAGAAAGATGCTATACCTGCACTTGAGCTCCAACAGGCATATGCACGATTAGAGCTGAAAGAAAAACAGTTGAAGGAGTTGTCTGATGCAATGCGAGAACTCACACCAGAAGAGTACCTGACCAAGCAATACACTGAGCAGGCAGCAAAGGCAGCACACGATGCGCAGATCTTCCGTGAAAAGAAGATGAAAGAGATGGAAGGAGCAATGGAGAAGATCAAGGCTGAGAAACTCAGACGAGAAGAGGAGCGTCGTCAAAAAATGCAAAAGCAAGTCAAGGCATTAGAGATGGAGATTGAATCTGATAGATTAAGGGATGTACAACGTGCTAACCAAACTGAGGAAGAACGTGCAAGAGCTCGTTATCGTCAGATTGAAGAAAAGGAACGTCGCCTTAATGCAGATTTGGCAAGTGCTGAGAATGAAGAGGCAAAGCAGGTAACAATATAAACAAATTGGAATTAATTCAGTGTTTGATTTCCCTTCTCTGATCTATATCAATATGGGACTGTAATTCTCAACTGCAAGACATTTTTTTAATTTAGTGTTGTTCATGAGATTTGTTTTAGCTACTTTACAAACAAGTATAATTATGATTGATCAATTCATTTTCAACAGAAACTTTTGAAAGAACACCAAGATTATATGGATCGATTCAATAAGGAACAGGATGCTGAAATGCAGAAGAATAAAGACAAAGTGAAAGCTAAACTGGAAGAACGGCGGAAAAGGAAGCAGTCTATGGAGATGACACGAATCAAATCAGAGGCTGAACGTCAAGGTGAAGCTGATGAGAGACGTCAGCAGGATCAATTGAATCACATTCAACAGCAAGGTGTGTATATATTTTTAGGAATTCTGAATTGTTTGGTAGACAAGTGGGGTGGGGGGAAACTTTCCCACTCTTTTTTACCACTTGTTGGATATTGGATAGTTCTGGTATACATAGAATTTGTATATAACTTAAGTATACACTATTTTTTGGTCTTATCAGGTGCTGCCGAGCTTACTGATACAATCAACAACACTCAACTTCTTGGAGAACCAGGCTACATCCCACCTGAAGGATTGCCACCAGGGGTTGATTCAAGCATGTTTTCAGCTCTTATGGCATCACCTCTATTCCAGAATGTACGGGAGATGGAAGAGATGTTGATAAATAGTGGTGGTGTGGCAGGCAGTGGTACTAATGGTAAGTTGTCCTCTGTTTACCTTAATTATTTTCATTGAAGTTTAATTCTTATACCAATTTGCAAATTTTAAAGATGAATTTATTTCATGTTTGTTTTTTCCAGGTGCTGGTAGCGACCCCTTCATTGATGTCAAAGATGCACAGTGGATGTGTATGGGAGAACTTGTGCCTCTTGACATCGACAACATCACTACCAGTCAGTTCATCATCTATCGCTTTGGGGTCTTTATCATTCAGATGTTGCGGCAGAAGTTGCAGACACCAGACATCACACTGCTGCTTGCGGCCAACCTTCCACCTAACAACTACCAACGGAATATGTTCCGTAACTCGTTCTTCTTCCAGCATGCACGTAACATTCTCTTCATCCGTCAGGAACGACTGGAATCCGTCGGTGAATTTGTTACGGTTATCATGCACAGTTTAGCTCATATCAAAGTTGATGATCTCGTAGACGATCGGAATCCTTATTTCATGAGGGCATTCTATGAGGTATGGTAAATTTCAGGATTGTATAGAATTAAAATTAGGGGTATCATCTTCATACTTGAAAGAAGTTCGCATGTATGTTTGAGTTGCCAAACATTGTTCTGTGGTTCCTAACATGTCAGCTTCTCAGTAAAATTCCACACCACCTTTGCACATTCTCTATGCACGGTTTTTGTGACATTCCTCAACATCTCATTTATGTTTTGTTTGCGATGCGATGGTAATTTATCTCTACTTATGTTAACTTGGGAGCGAAATAATTTCATCAATTCACAGCCCAGAATTTTCCTACTAGCCAACCTTTTCTTTCAATTTCTAGGCTATAGCATGCGTGTGTCAAGATATGTTCTTCGCTAGATCTCGTTCGACACCAATCACAAAAGCCCTGACCGCTTCTGAGCCAGAGGCTAATAAGACCCCACTGGAGACAGCATTCAAACATGTTAAGACAGCAGCAGAAAAAGCAAATGTTGTAGGGGAGCTGGTGACATTGAAGGTGTCAGCACCAGTTGAGGCAGACTTCAGTGATCAGGTTTGTTTGATTATTTCTGTAGTGGAGTTAGTTAGGATATGTGCTTTTATGTTTCATTGTCTAGGGTTCAATTCCATGACTATATATACTGTAATTTTCCAATACCAATGCACACTTACATTTCGTCAAATGTAACAACTTGTAACAAATTTTGACAACAGGATCTGTGCGTGCAAGTTTTTTTCATATCTTCTATATTATTTGGAAAAGATTGTCATACCATGTTTTGTTTTTATATTTTAGAATATTGAAGAACGACTTGATGGGTACCAAGAAACAGCCACCAGCGCCAAACTACGAGAATTCCTGTCCAATAGTGGAGGTGGAAAGATGTCTGGAGATTTTGTTGCTGCAAGGCTACGTGAGTTACGAGGTCAGGAGGAACCACAAGAACCAGAAATTACTGCTCGAAAATCTAAGCCCTCTAGTCTGAAGAGTCAAAAATCACTCCTGGATATGCAAATTAGGAAACTGAATTCGCAGGTGGATGATTTAAATACCCAACTAGCTTCCGCACTGAATGAACATCAAGCCATCAGTCAAGGTATTGAGAGCTTGCGAGAACAAGGTGGCTTTGAGCCATCGAGACTAGACATCATGAAGAAACAGGCAACAATGCTTTGTGTCAAACGAGAAAATCTAATGAAAAAGATTTCGCAAATTACAGGAGAGGTTTCAAAGAAACAAAAAGAACGACAAAACATCAATCATTAAATTTTGACACTAAACACCTGTGAAATTAGCTTCAGGCAGCAGGTTTTAAAAATAAGGTAAAGGATATATATATTTAGATATATATTATCATGAATCTGTGACAACATTTATCCTCGCATTAAATTTTTACTTGTTTAAATCCTATCCATATTTTACTGAACAGTTAAATTTTAATTGTAAATAATATATCCAATATCAGAAAATGTTTAGCTTAAGAGAGAGCACTATTTTTGGATAAGTGACTGATTTATTGGCAAAAATGTAATAATTGTGTCCTGGTAAATGATTGTTTGGATAAACAATACATTTTCGTTTTAACAAGTACATATTTTTTTTTTTTTTTTTTTTTTAATTAAACAACTGGATGTGATTGTGTTCCAGATTAGGAAGTATTCATGAGAAGAATAATGTATTGTAAATTATCAGATAAATATTGTTTTGTGAATAATGATATTTAATATATTATATAATGAATATAACAGTGTATTTGATTAAATCATATGAAGTTTGTAAGTTTTGATGTCCATGTCTTTCCAAATGTAGTTAAAAATTAGGAATGTGATTACTCTTATATCCTCGGTTTCTGAAATTGATTTAATCAGATATTGAGTGATGTGCAAGAAAATGTAACTAAACAATGACTTGTAAATAATATTTAATACTATGTTTCTTATTGATAAATACATTCCATTTTTTGAAATTATTTAAATAGATACATTTCTCATGAGTTTCGCTGTAATGGATTGAGCTCAATGAAGTGTAGTAGGTATAAATTAGAAGTGTCATGTAAAATACATTTTCAATCCGTCCAGTAGACATATCAATCCGTCCAAAATGTTTCCAAAATATTACAAATGCGAGAATCTTACAAATTATCCGTCCAAAAAACAATATTATAGTATTTAGCACAAATTTTGTTATTTAGCTCCATTTTTGTGATTCTTCTGATTCGATAAACTTTTGTAAATTTTTTCAATTAAAAGTCACCTTGATAAATTATCGATTTTATACATTCAAGGTTTCTATGAAAAAGGATCTTTACGAAGTCTTTCAAATGGAACGTCACCTTGATAAATTTTTTCTTTAATATTTCGAGTAGAATAGTTAATAATAATATCTTTTTAAAGATCTTCATGATGCCTTTTATATTATGAAAATAATCACCTTGATAAATGTGCCTCGAGTAGGTAAAGCTTTCACTGGATATCTTGCGTTATTGTTATTACCTTCTGACAACCTTCCGTTACCATGACGAATAGGATGGAATGAGTACACATGTATGTGGCAATTAGCATGCATGTTGAAGCATTTTATTTCATTGTCGGATGTTAAATGCAGTTAACAATCGATAATTATATGTATGTACCATTCATGTATAAAAATAGGGAAGGGTTGAAGGTCAAGATTTCGAGGTTATACGCATTTTTTAGCACACATTAGTGCGTCCTGGAAAATGCTATTAGAATAATTAGGGCCCTCTAGGTCTGTCCTGTGTTGATTTCATCTGTAATAATTAGTTTTAATAATTTAGACAACTATAGATCGCTTAGGCCTACAGTGTAAATATACAACTTTCAATTTTGACGACCACCATTGGTGTATTCATGGTGTATTGAATATTTGAGTATTTATTAGTAGTAGACATGGGCAGCACATTCCATACCACGTGTTCATAGAACCGTTCATATTTTTGTATGATCTGATAGTGAATATACGATACATTGTTTTCAAACATAGTTTTTAAAACACTACTGTATTTTTTTAAATTCATAAATTATATGTTGATAAATATTAAGTGGTTATCTTCTCATAGAAAAAACGCCGTCCATAATGATCGAGAATGGACGCTACCTTTATTGTGTATGTGTTTTTTTGTACTTTAATTTTGAATAAAGATTTTGTTTAAGCAATACAACAGGCTGTATATAATATTATTTTTCCTCGTCTTCGAACATGTTATAGGCCTAGGCAGACTGTTTACCTAATTAGTCTATGTCAAAAACTAACCAATCGGAATAGAGCATGGAGTACGCGCTTGTGTCCCACAAAATACAATAGAAACACTCATTCGTCCTCATTCCCTTTTCACTTTGTTAGCTTTGGTAATATAATTAATATATCAATAACAATAAAAGGTGATGATGATAATAGTAAAAGTAAGAAGTTTTCCACTTTAATCAAGATTAACCTTGTGCGCTAAGACCTTTTTGGTTAAACCATGGAGGTGTGTGTGTCCTCGGTTCTATTCCATCAAGTTGCTCTCCCTGCTATGATTGTAGCGCACCGCGTGGACTTTAAAGAACGCACTTTGGTAAAGAGCTGTATTGTTGCTTTTATCTTTACAAATTAAAAAAAAATGTGAGTGAATTTATCTTTATTTTTTGCCAGATGCCCTAAAGTTGATGTCGAAAGTTGTTGTCTGATGTAAGATATTGTCATTCTAGGCCTCTGTGGGTTATTTTATTTCCATCTGATGAGTATTTAAAATAAATGAATAAATATAAAAAAATTTTTATCATTTAAAAAAAAAGAAAGACAAAAAATTTATTTTATTTGGCCTAATATATATAGATAAAATTATATAATCCTTAATAAAGCCCATAAGTTAATTGTGTTAAATTTTTAACAAATGCTTAGGCTAACTGTTTTAATTATTCGTGAGCCTGTTGATGTATTTCCATCGTAACCAGCATACATTTTATTGGTATCAAACTAGTACTGTCATTTACCTGATATATATCATGCAAATTGCTATTTCAATTTATCATGCAAATTGCTATTGCAATTTGCGTAGCATCTATATTCTATATGATGTATGCAAATTTATGCGAGCGTGCATATGCAGAGGGACTGTTAACTTGTCAGGTAGGACTATACGGGTTTATTATAAATAATTTTTATGTAAATTTCATACCTGTCTCTTATACACATCTAGATGTGTATAAGAGACAGTTTCTAGACTCCTAGATAAATTAAAGTGAAACACCTTCTCTATTTATGTTGGTAAACCCAATTCTTACGTGCCTAGGTGATAATCCAAGTTGAGAATAAAGACACGTACCACGAATGAACTCCCCACAAAGGTTGGATCCCATGAGGGACATTAAAATCATAAAATGACCTGAAATTAAAATTTTAAACCTGTTTCCTCAATAAAATCCCACCAAAACTGTACATAATACTTAACACAACGTACCGATAAGTTATTCCAATGTTTCGTTAATATTCAATATCGCTAAGACTTGTTTTTAAATAATGAAAATAATATTTTAATTTACGAAACGTCTCTGTCTTGTTCAATTTTCTGAGTCAGCTTAGTTGTATTAGTGATTGATGGTTTATAGTCCGACCCTGAGTGAATAATCGTAACACTCACACGTTACTAAGTAGATGAATGAAACCAGCACGATCGATCAAGCATGAATTAACAATAGCTAAAACCAAGAGACCAACTGCAAACAGTCCCAGTGTAACAGCCCTACAGTGGACTATATTTATGCCTATAGTGTCACACAGTTACATACTTACCTGTTACGTTTTCATTACTTAAGTTTTTTTATGTTACTGAAGAAGCCGTTTTTTTTTATGTTACTGAATTCAAAGAAATGCGATTTGCTTTGAACACGTTTTAAGCCGATAACCGCGACTCAGCAGTCTGGCATTGTGGCCTATTTCCGTGAAGTTTACATTTATCTTTGGACAATATGCTTTAATCAGTTTGTTGTAATAAAGTAGCAGTGCCAGTTAATGTTTGTCACAGCAACATACGGTGTAACACTAGCATTCTTTATTGATCATAAAGTGACCTGTTGAACGATGTTTATAACAGTTCGGTATGGAGGTAAGTAGATTTACTGTGCCAATAATTACACTGTACTCTGCACCTAGGTTTCCAGTATAATAACCATTGTCAACTTTTATTTTCATGTCAGCCGAATGTATCCATGGTGATAACTAATGTAAATAAGCACTATTTAATTAAAGGTCTATGTTTACATCCCTATGCCAGTGGTTCCGATGTTACTAGCCTCTTTTGGATCTTAATCTTGTTGGTGATTAGAAATTTAATGATGACTATGGTGTGGTGGTGGTGGTGATGATGATGATGATGATGAATGATGATGACCACTGGTGATTATGATGATGGTAGCGATGATGATGATTATCATTGTGATTATGGTGGTGGTGATGATGATGTTGACAATAACCGCGATCAGATTTATTTCTTCAGTACAAGGGTGTTTTTACTTAAAAACTGTATGTTCATAGAGTAAGCATATAGATCAGGATAGTGATGATGATGATGAAGATGACTATTGGTCAAGATGATTGATGATGATGATGATGATATTTCGAACGTCAGCCTCCAAAATAGCTCAACATGGTTGAGCCTGAGGAGTCCCTGGGATTTTCTATTTCGAATTCCTGTATCCGCCACTGAATGATGATGTTTATAAGACGTGGATGACAGAAAGTGTAATGGAGTTGGAATTATCAGTCTATCAAATACAATGTAGATCGGCCATTTAATAAGACGTGGATGACAGAAAGTGTAGGAGTTGGAATTATCAGTCTATCAAATACAATGTAGATCGACCATTTAAACTAGGTTGCCTATCAGAAAGAACTTCGAATTCTATTAGCTTTATGAGCATTTCGAGAGAAAATATTAGTCTAACAATTAGTTGTTTGCATTATGTAGGCTTTATTTTGGGCAAAGCAAATACGACATTGCACGTGTTTGTTTTTTACCTTCATAATGAAACAAACACATATTATTGGTGCAGATTACCGGTTGGGATAACTCTAGCTGGAAGAAAATTTTACCTGTATAAAATTGAGTAAATGAGTTGTTATATCAACTTACAATTTAGAAATTAGTATTTTTTTTTTTTTTTTTTTTACTTATTCGATGGTAATCATTGGTATGAAACAGTCTCTGTGAATAAATGGCCCAGTTTGCAATGTCATCATTAATGATGAGAATTGTATGAAAGGCAAAATGCAGGTCATTCGTATAAACTTTGTTCGTCGATCAATAGGTTCCGCATTGAGTTTTAATACAGGTTTGAGAAATGCAAATATCAGGATGTGACGTCATCGATAAAGATATTCAGAATTGAAAAATACAAATCACTCATCATTCGTTTATTATGTAGGTCTAAGGTACATTTATCATGATCATCATATGAGTTATGCTTGATTTATATTTGTATTTAGTACCGTATCCGTATAACAGTTTATATACTACCGTATACATCATTCAATACGTCGACTCACTATACCTTTATTATCTTAAGAGTTATGCTTGATTTATAAGTACCTGTACAACCGTTTATAAGAATTACTGAATGAGAAATATATATACATATAAATAAATATATTTACAAATGGAAGATAAATAATACATATACATACTGTATAAAGATGTGTATAAGAGACAGTATATATATATATATATATATTGTAAATTATATCCACAAGGTGATATATCAATAGAGTATTATTAATGTACATTATTATTACGAGGCATAAAATGTAATGTATACATTATTCAGTTCAGTTTCTTTTATTCACATCAAGATCGCAGCCGAAGATATAATATTTACAAAAAATGAATATTAAAATATTAAAACATCAATCTAGCACAAAACATGAATGGAGATAAAAGTAACATTAAACACATTAAACTTTGAAACATCAAAATTTCATAAAGATTAAAAAAACACATTATTTGAACACAAATCATTATTTTCAATTTAATTATTGTATCATTATTATTGTATCATTAATTGTATTATTATTATTATTATTATTATTATTATTATTATTATTATTATTATTATTATTATCATCATCATCATCATCATTACCATTATCTAATTACACCGTGTCGCTATACCGGTATCTTATTAACGAAGATTGTGTACAATATATTTTGTTTATATTAGGTGCCGGTACTGAAACGTAATTCGAATTAGTGGTCTGTTAATGACCGTTTTTATTGGCTTTTTTTTACCGACAGAGCGTGAGGAGGCGCTGTTCAATCCTAATTGCAAAACGATGCTATTGCTTGAGAATATACGACAGCGGTGTAGACTCGGAGAAGATGGTAATTATTATGTGGTTTACTTATAATTTAGTTTGATTGTTAGTAAACAGTACATACTGATAGCCTATTATATTATTCTATAATATTACAAGTTTTTAGTACTACACCACATCACCACGTCACGTATCATCAATTGATAGTACTCTGAGTATCTTAACTCAAACTCTTAGTTGGGGGCAGAAAGTCAGAGTAAATTTCATACCTTGTATACGCCCGCCTATGTGATATTGTATTAATTACGGTAAAAGTCTGTGCTTTGCATTTCAACTTGTATATTAACTCTTAGCATGATGTTCCAAAAATGGGCTGCTTAAGCCACATTTGATAACCACTGACTGTTATTTCCATTAAATAATATTATTCACACACACATGCCGTGTTAAATGACTATGGGTAATTTGAAAGGTAGTAAGCGAAGCAATCTTTCAGAACATAGGCCTACAAACTAAAAGTAGCTTTTCATGTTTAGTCGATCGACATTATTCTTAATCTGAACATACAATCAAATTTTATGTATGCCAATTGTTTGTTGCATAGTGATAGTGCGGACAGAATTTTAGACCAAACATAATTTTTAACAACTATGGTTTTATTTTTAGTCGAAGTCGACCTTGCTGATCCAGAAGGCAATGTTAAACATCTCATCGACGCGTCTCTGAGATACGCAAATGAAGTTCTAAAAGACAGAGAAACATTTGTTCTAATTAAAGTTGAAAGTAAGTCTATATATGTATTATATAACTTCTTAATGTTTATTTTCTTATTTAGTCTTGCATCCCTCGGGAAAGGTGTGCAAATACAATAGGGCCTATCTTGTCTATCATAATACGTTCATGCTATTTTTAAAAGCAAACTTATATCGCTGATATCCTATAATTAATCAAGTTTACATGATATAAACAACGATTTATTATAAGAAATTAGTTATAGTGTCAACCGGGATTCTGTTTTAGACCCGTCTATATCGGAAATCAGTTCTGTGTAGCATTTTTGGGATAGTTTATTTCAAAATATACTTCTTGCTCTTGTATTGTGATATTTCTAGTACAGGCTTCTTGTTTATATTGTTGATAATTTATTATGTTTTATATTGATATTTACACACTTTCAAATTCTTCAGAAGATGACGATTCAAGGAAACCGAGTTATATTCCCCTACTGAACGACAACGAGTTCATTGATGCTGCGTTCCTTGGTGCGTGAATTTACCATATTTTAATACTATGAAACAGGCCTGTAACCAGGGGTGTGGTTCTGTAGTTCAGCTAAAACTCCTTTTTGAGTGAACCTCCTTTACGAGTGTGTACCCTTCTGATAAACCAACCACGCTCTAATTTTTGCTTCAACTATCAATGATGATGAAATTCGCCATTCATATACCAGCATATTTCAGCTCTTGTGTGAGCTTCTCTGAACCACAACAATTGCTCTGTCTCTGAACCTTTTCCCCACCCTTCCTTCCGCTGCGCAGGGGCGGCGACAGAAATTCGCCGACGAGGGGTCCCCTACAAGGGGGTCCAAGCTCCCCGACAAGGGCCACACCACCACCCCCCCCCGCCCCCGTTGGGGACAAATTGTGTTGGTTATGGTATTCTTTATTCTAAAAGGATAATTTGATAGAAAACCATGCAAGGTAAGATGCCGCCTGTCGGGGTTACTAACCAGCAGTCAGAGATTCCAGCCCCCCCCCCCTGTCGGGAAGATTTGGCGCTACCACAGCAACCCATGGCGATCGCGATAGTATACAACACCTCGCACATACGGTAGCACTGCTCGCACTATTTAAACAGTTTTTAATCCCTAAAATTTGACAGTTTAGTCAGGCATACCAATTGATTTAGTCTTCGACTAGGCCTGTACCGTTTATATGTGTTTATATTATTAGCATTCTGCAAGGTAGCTATTATCCTTTTACATAGTGGGTGGGCGGTGCTGTATCATGAAGGAAAGACATATTATTGTGAATTGAAATGTAGGCCTACACATAACAAATGAAAATTTATGTTTGAAAAAAAAAATCAATAAATGTTAGGCCTGTAAATTGTCTTTTTTGTTTGTTGAGAAAAAATAAGGTTAAAATAACATAACAGCATAAAAAAACGTATTTCTATTTTTTCACTATTCAGCTCGCTTATCTACAAGGGACCAGTCATCTAATGGAAGCGCGAAAGGTTCACGTAAACGCCGTGAAGGAAACAAATCGAATGCGTCGAAAAAACCGCCAAAATCAACAACACCAACGGGCAGGAAAGGAAAGCGATGATGTAGGCCTACCAAGGAAACACGATTTAACGAGTTTCGAAATCGCAACATATGAATTTAGGAGGCCTTCTGTAAATGAGCCAACTTTTCAACAATGTTATGTGCTAGAAGTCGGTTTGAGACGTTCTAACCTGTAAGCCTACATTGCAATTTCGTGAACTATCCAGAATTCATCCGGGAATAGGCCTATCCGGGTCAGACTTTCAGTGCCAAAATGATAAAATATGTAAATATAAAATAGGCCTAAATGGAGAAACTATAAATGTAAGCGTTGCTTGAACACTAAAAAAGAATAGCCGACTGATTTTTTTTAGCTTTCAACATCCAAGCTTCAGGGTTGAACATTTTAATTTACCCACATTACCAAGACGATTTTAAAAGGCATTTTCAAAGGCGATTCGAAAGGAGCATTGTTTATTAGTAGGGCGAAAGTAATCAAAACATTCATTATTTATTATTATATTAAAACTGCAGTAGGCCTACGTAATTTAGGCACCTTTGTCATGCGAAACACGCATGTTTATGACTTTTTAAATTTATATTTTAATACGTTTGGTGGTGGTCTAGGCTTGGTATACTTCCCTCTCACAAGTCTGGATATGGTTCTGTCTTGGGGACTCCGAGAAGATACAGGTATCGAACTAAACTAGTTTGTTGGTTTTTATAAACATAAGGGCCGATACCTTTCTTTCTTCCTCTTACTCCGCCACGCCGTACAGAAAATTTTATAAATTCTAACAAAATCATCTATTCTTCTTGGAGAGACTGTTGGTATAGGTGTTGTGATTTTTACTAGATTAAAATAAGCATTAGGAACTATAAAGAATAAAATTATTTCGTTTAACCAGTGGCAGTTGTGTTTCTCAGCCGTACTGTGCAGTGTCAAAATAGAATCATCAACAGTATGCTGGTACGATTACATAATATCCGCCCTCTATAGTTCGAGGATCCGATTGACTTCCCCCGACCAACGCAAATCATCGCGTCTTCAAAATCCTGTCGGGCTGTGTCGTACGAGACTGTCTGAGTTGGCCTTTATTATATACAGTATAAGACATTGCTCTACTTCAAGTTATAATATTATTTACCTGGTCCACTTCGCTAAGGCATTGCTATTGATTTTTTTGTTTTTGTAATCTCTGCCTCAAAGTTACATTATTTGTATACTATTTTAATTATTGACAGTTTAACCAAATGACTGGTTAAAGTTTTATTGGGAATCACAACTCGTTTCCGAGTTGCATCCAAATACAAAAAACATCTTAACTAAATCTTACATACTGAACACAAAATATACAAAATTATGCACAATAGAAAAATAATTCAATCTTACACAGAACAAAAGATACAGACTTGTGTTTCCATCGAGACAGCCCAAATTCATATCAATAATTTTTATTTACAGATCAGATGCAAACTTACGTCAAGCTAAAATGAAATTATAATAAACGGTACAACTATAACGTCACAGTGTTAATATTATCGAAAAAAAATAGGCCTAATTAAAATACGAAAGAAATACAAAAGTAATAACAGAAAACAGAATGAAAATATAAGATAGGCCTATAATTTATACGGTACCACTATAACGTTTTGGGGATTATGAAATTACTGACCGTAGGCCTAATACTGTACGTGAAATTTTTACTAGGCCTATATAAATGGCATTAGTTTTAAGTAGGCCTATATTTCCGATCTAATTCGCCATGCTTTAGTTAATGCTTTAGTTATGCTTTGTCTAAAGTTGTTGTCTACAATTTAGCCTAAAATTAGGTCATACAAATTATCTAAAAGAAAGTGTCGTTTATAATCAATATAACCGTAAGTAAAATTTGTCCAATGTATTTGTAAGTCATTATACAATTGATTCTTAATACTTTTAAATGCGTTTGATCTAATATTTTCTAGTATTTTACAATCAAATAGGCCTACCTAACATTTTTTGGCCGACAGAATTCGTTGTTTGTATTCAGCGTAGATAACCAAGTATCATTTCGCACATTATTACATTGAGTCTATAATAATACATTTTTTTACAATTGTAAACTCTTAAATTCTGTATTCGCCATTTTGGGAATGAAGGAGTCCATTTTTCGTTGTTGTGTTTGAAAAGTTATAATTCTATATATAACCTTACTATGATCTTGCACTTTCATTCATTCATTCATAAAGGTATTTTATTCAAAAATAATTGTAATTGCAGTACTGTATTAAAGACTGAATTGTTACAATTTTACAAATTCAAAAAAAAGAGACATTAAAAAGGCAAGAGACAAACTTGGAACACTATAGGATTAATATTGTCTTAGTACCACTTACATCGTGTTCCACAGTATTCAACATGTTTTAATATAGCATAATTCTGTCTTGTGTAATCACTGTCTCTTATACACATCTAGATGTGTATAAGAGACAGTATATATCCTATATAGATCCACATATGCCTATAATTATAGTGATAATCAAGCTCATGATAATGCTGGCGATAATGATAATCATGATAAATACTGTTGTTACGTATGATCAAAACGGGTTTTAATTTCCAATAGAGAGTCTTAAAAATAACCATCTGTTTTCATAGGTCTGATGGAATTCACTTAATTCAATCATGGAATTTCCTGAAGCCTATCTTTGGTTCAATAATACTTTATTTGAAAAAACTACGCCTTTCCATCAGCGGCACACGTCACGCGTAAAGAAAACATTTAAAACAGCAGTGTTATTTAGACCGAAACACAGCAATGTACAGTGAAACGTGTCAATAGAAATAGTTCCCAAGAAAATAGAACAAACAAAAATCTTCACATGGCTTTTGTCTGCTTTTTTCTCGCCCAGTACAATTATTTTGCATAACAACGAACATTGTTTTCTGTGTCTCAGCAACAGTCATCGTATCCAACGGCGGTGTGGGGTCAACTCGATGAATATTCATTCAGATTCTGCATTCAATAAAATCGTTGAAAATGGCGAGGGAGTGTTTGACGGTCGGCCATAAAGTATCGTTTAAAATGAACGTAATTCTCGCTTTAACCCTTGTTTTTCTGTCAGTGACATGTGTATCAGGTTTATATCGTGAGGGATTATTACGGACAACAGAGGTAAGTTTCGAGTTTTTTTGTCTATATTCGTAATACGTTTGTGTGTACTTACCAAGTTATCAAAGCCTGGCTGTATCTGACAAAGTTTTTATTTAAGTTGCTGGCAACTGCTCCAACTCGCTCGACTCTGAGTCCACCTTCATTTTGACGCGTATCAGTGCTGGCATTGTAAACAACTGTTATCTATTATTTATGATCTTTATAAGTCCAAAGACAACGTCATAATTTTGTGAATTGTTGCCCATCTCTCTAGTCTGTGTAAGGTTCTAATCAACTTCTTTTTCGAATGGAGGTTTACTTTACTCTCTTTTGTTAATATATTTATATTAATTTTATATTTAATTTTTCTTATTCAGTATTAAATGTCAGTTATAATATACTATTTCTAGGCCCTAGGCATAGGCCTAGTTTGAAGTGAAATGTGTTCTTGGTAGACCTAAGTACAAAGCAAATGATGTATATGTTCACTCCTGTCATAGAATTACCCACCTGCCTCTCTACTGTGGAAATTTCCCACCTTCAATGATCCTAAATAATTGGTGAATTCAATCTCTTACCACCTGAAACTATCAAAATCTCGATCACTGCTCAACATCAGTATCATCCTCTTCACCATCATCATACTGGTGTAGTGTAATTCATGTCATTATCATCATCTCCAGTCAGACCTATCATCGCCATTATCATCAAAATGATCATCATCGTAGATTTACCTATTAACATCACTTATTTTTTGATCACAAATTTGCTCAATAAAATGTATGAAAACCATATCAGCTATCAATCATAGAGAGTCAAGAATTATTACCAACTCAAGTACAGTATTTTGTGTCACGACCCCTATACCATGGGCAGCTTTATTTATAGGAGTAGGTCTTTCGGTTCATTGATATTGATGTGGCCTAAGAGGCCCTAACTCCTGGTATCTGTATCAATTTCAATATAATAATAATAATAATAATAATAATAATATTAATAATAAAAGTAATAATATATAATGTAATAACAATAATAGCATTAATTAATAATAATGTACTACAATAATTATAATAACATACTGTAAGTCTGCTTGATACAATATACACATGTAATAATAAAGTACTTCAATAATTTTAATAATATAAGTCTGCTTGATACAACTATACTCATGTAATAATAATTTTATAGTGTCTTTACCTTGTTCCTTTGTTCATTTTTTTTTTATGTGTACAGTAATCTAATTCGTATTTTAAATATTTTATATTGTACTGTATATTTAATTATTCTTGGTGTCGGGAAGGTTGAACCTGGTTCAACTTTGCCGACTGAGTTGCAGACGAATCGGGGTGCCTTCCCAAATGTGTCAGGGCAGCTAGCAATGGACACTGATTCGTCTGCAATGCAATCGGCTACAATTGAACCAGGTTCAAACTTTCCCGACAACTGTCAGTGACCATCATCGATCGGGTGAGCGATTGTATGGAAGTCTAGAAGTGTGTGAGACTTCATGTATGTACTCTGTCAATTGTGAGATTCATAGTGAGTGAATGTGAGATTTATTGATAATATAAGAAACCAACTTTATCGCAGGCCTCTACTCTATGTAGCAAATATTTTTCTGCCCTAATCAGCTCCATGAACTAAAATACCGTAGGCTAAATCCTAGTCACGAATTTTAATATAAGTATACTGTTTTTGAAGAATATCTTGGTATCTTTATTCAACAAAAATTTCATTGCAGTTAACAATAAACTAATGTAACTGAATTGGGACATTAATTTACAAAAAGATCTGATTTAAGAATTAAAATATTTCTAACATCAAAATATAATTAAAATATAATACTAAGACAATATAATGTCAAAAGACATTGAAACTTATTAAAAAAAAGTGTATAGCCTAATACCTGAGCCTACAGTATTTGCAAATATTCTTTCAGATTTGTTTTTGAATTCATAAATAAGATATTACACAAGGATTGTGCTTTCAACCACCAACATACATTGTGATGTTGAAACTTCTACATCATACTCAATACATTTGCTCAGCTATATTTTAATTATTCTAGACTATTTTAAAAAGTAATACTGTAGTCAATAACATGTCTGTAAATATTTGTTTCTATATGATGTTTGCTAAAACACAATCTATAGGATTAATATTGTCTTAGTACCACTTACATCGTGTTCCACAGTATTCAACATGTTTTAATATAGCATAATTCTGTCTTGTGTAATCATGTGTTATTAAACTTTGAACACACACAAATCGACTGGTTTTTTTTTTTCTAATTCTGTTTTCCTGTAAAAAAATTTGAATTTCTTGTAGGATTGGCATTTTTTAGCAAGGTTCTGTTTTGTGTCAGAATTTGGTCGCTTGAGGTATGAAGTGGAATACCCAAAGGTATGTCGTGTCTTTGTATAATTTTACTTATACTGTAGTCTTTCTATCATAATCTTCTACCAATACTGCTGTACTAAATACTTACTGGTACTCACAATTGATATCTGTACTATGATACCCCTAAATATTGAGTTATTTTATGTGGGTGTTGTTCCATTTGAAGTTTTTAAAAATGCTAAGAAAATTACCTTAATACATCTAATACAGAAAGGAGAGATATGCCACCAATTATTACCCTTCTTTGTAATGCATACTAACAGTTATTTCCTATCACTTATTGTCAGTATTACACCCAATATATGTGCTAATAGACAACGATGACACAATTGTCGACCACTGATGAATTTTTTATTAACATGGATACATCATTGATGGTGATTTAGTACGACAATATCTTTTGGCTTTGAATGCAATCAATACACAATTGTTACATGTCAGCATTTTATGGTTTTAGTATATTTTTTTGACAATTCCTAATAGTATGCAATTATTTTTGTATTTCTTGTTTATAGTCCTTCGAAGTAGAAAATATTTTACTATACTATGATGAACCAGGCCAGTGGCCTGCGGTTTATCCTCCAGATGATTCAGAAAAAAAGGTGAATAAGTAATAATTTTTCAGTTTACCATTTCCTTGTTTTGTTATTGAACATTCATAAAAGGTGGCTGAGTGTTGCACAATTTATGAAAGGGGTACGAACCGGAGAGACCTAATCCATATTGTGAGCTGTTATTAGCTCTGACAATGATGATTAAAAAATGGTGAATATGACATTGATAATAATGAAGGTGATTGATAATAATAATGGAGATGATGGTGATGATGATAATGATTATGATAGGAATAATGATGATGATGATGATTAGAGGGAAAAGCAATCTAAATCAATTTTATTTTTAACAGACTTGTCTAGAGAAGGAATCTGTTATGAGACCTGAAAACAACCAAATCATAAACCTCACTGATTCATACGTGTGGTCAGGGTGCGTGTCGACACGGATCGAAGAAGAGAACTCTCCCATCAGCGTATATGGAGATGACTTCAAATTTTCGTGTAAAGGAGGAAGAAGCTTTCGTTCTGTGCGTGAACGATGGTGGTACTTGGCTTTAAGTAACTGTGGATCTAGCAACGTAAGTGAATGCATTTCTTAAAATATCTACTTTTATAGCCCAAAACTCTCTCCTTGTGTATATTCCAACTTGCTACTACATCAAGAATTATATCGTCTATCAACTATAGTCAGCAGTTAGAATGTTTGTTTAGGTGGGTTCATAAATTTTCTGCTTGTGGAGTATAAATTAACATTTGACCAATAGAGACATGATTCATGTCCATATTACTGTCCAATTTACTGAAATTTGCATAATAAGGCATGTAAAAAAAAGTAAAATTTTGTTTTCTTATTTAGCAAATGGTTTTGGCATAAATATCCAGACGGAGGAGAAAATAAAAATAAAATGTTATTGGTGAATGTAAACAATATGGGATGGCATAAACTCTTTAAATCTATATCATTAGGAAGAAATATAGGCCTACATATCTTATATAGATATAGCAGTGTTTGTAATAAAAATAAAGAAAAACTGTTATTTTTTCCTAACGTTTCCATTTTTTGTGGCTAATTGGCTAAAAATATAATTTTATTTTTTATTTGAAATCATAGTTTGGTTCACTGAACAAGGTATAAAGTCTTGCCTAAATTCAATTCAATTTTGTACATTCATTACTATAATGCTATGTAAATTTTTAGCTCAGCTCTTGCCTTTCAAGGGAGTACGTAGGTTTTTAATATTTGATAACTAGTACACAACACAATTTAATTTTTGTATAGTTATTCCTTGCTGCCTGACTGACTGTTCAGCTCCATGGTGGGCTATTAGCCAGCAACTCTGCTTAGATTAATTGTCATGTTGTTTGCTAAAGGCCCCAAGTTTGTTTTGAATTTCTACAACAAACATTTTCCATATTCAAATCTTAAATTCAAAGACCTGCATTATTGTAAGCATATTTAAAACTGTTGATTCAACCTTAATTGTGAACATATGTGGGTGTGATATACTGGTATTAAGATTTATCTATTTATAAGGTAATTACATTAAACAATCTAAATTGTTTGTTTTGTTTAAATGAGAAAATCGAGTCGAGATATTATTCGATTACAGTTTTTGTTAGTGCAGTATAGCATTGCTCATTGTTAAATATTTTACATACGGTTTTTTTCATTGATTGTTTTTTCATGCATATCAATACCTTACATATCTTCATTGTAATGATAATGTGATAATGACACATAAGAATTTATTTGCAAAAGGTGTTCATTTGCTGTCATGCTTTTCAGTTTAACAAAAGGATAAATATTATTATTATTATTATTATTATTACTTATTATTATTATTATTATTATCGTATAGGGGCTGTATATGAAGTATAAATTAACATTGACCAATGGAGACAGTTGGTGGAAGAAACACTTTTCTGCAGATCAGTTTGGTAAGAGAACTCTGTAAACAGACTGGGGAAGATCAAGCAAGCGCATCAATGAAGCGCACAATATAATTTACATCTAACATGGCATCCCTGTTGACAATTATCATAGATGTTTGTCCTCTCCGTTCGAAAAGGAAGGTTGAACAATCGTGATTGGGCCACAAAAGAGTACCTCTAGTCCACTGTGTAATCACAGGGTCAAGTGCTGCTCCTCTCACTGGAATGACACAATATAATGCATATTCTTGAATCACTTGTTAGTGGCTGTTAGTTCACCTTGTTATTTGTTACTTGGTTCTTCTGTGGTGCTTTTTCTTGTGATTACAAAGCACTAATCACCTTCCACTTTAATTAATATTTCCTCCAAGTATAATGCACCTCTACCAAAGTCAACAGTGCACAGTAATTACCAAGTCAATGACTAAATTGATTTAAAATTGAAATGAATAAAATATTGTGAGAATAGTGTTGATATATAAAGATGTAGATAATATTCCCTCCTCTCCATCCTCCACCCATGCAAGTGTTTTAAACTGATACACACCATCACCAACGCTAGCTGAACATCACTTCTCTTTTCGAGACTAATTACTTATGTGTTTCGTGTGCGAGCAATTGAATTGATTAGAATTTATAATGTGTCATGTGAAATTTAAAATTTGAACGCAACATTGGCAGTTTTGAGTGGATTTTGCCTAGTTTCAGGTAATTACATTGATCATAAACTGGATTTTATTACATGCACTCAGTAGCCAATGACTGATTGCTTAAGTCTATTTGCCTACCAGTGCTCAACACTTATTAATAACATGGACTAACATTTGAATTAGCAGATAAAATACTTTTTGAATTATCGATTGACAAAGCTATCAATTCGCAAATGGTTTCTGTTCTTAATATCTACTTGAGATTCATGACTTGTTCAATTAATTGTTCAAAGGAGTAAAAAGTGTGTATCCATCAATAACCAAAAACTAATCATCCTTCCGTAAGTCATTCCCCCCTACTTCAATAAGGGTAATAATAATGATAATGATAAATCAATTAATAAATTTGTAATAATAATATTCGTTAAGCATTAAGAAAAAAAAAATCATGTTCACCTTTTTGTGCTCATGACAGTAAAATTATATTATCTGTTAAATGATAAACCTTTTATTTTTTCATTTCTTGCACAGTAATCCACCATTATTATTCTGTCTTATTAAATTGTAAAGACAGTTTTTAAAATTGTTTTTCATACATTTCTGTTTTTAATTGTACATGACAAATAAGAAATATTTGATTTGATTTTTTTTTTGCAGGTATATTACAGACGGATATTTTGTTTCTTTGTCTGTTTACAGTCAGTTTCTTTGGATCTTTATATGTAGCTGGTAAGTGAAGGGAGCAATTATGAAAGGGTTATATTTTTACAATTTAACTGTAAACATTAAGAACTGTATTGTTAACGGATTATTTATTTAGAAAACTGAACATCATTTAAAACACTGATTTAATGAGTTTTAACGCTGATACAGCAAACCTAGGCTGGGAGTGTAGGTGTGGGCAAATGAATTCTACAAAGTGGTTCAAAATACTAAAAATGACAAGTTATAATTGGAAATGGGACTTAGGTTTGCGCATTCTCAATTACAAGCTGAAACTAGAGTTCCTATATAGAGATAGTTGCGACATGAGCTGCTAGTGGGACTCCATATTGTGTCCTTTCATGCATGAACGAACACAACGTCTATGTTACACGACCGTCCCGAGGCAAAACAACGTAACTGACGTTTTTCTCGATTTTGAGATAATATCATTTGAGAGTATATTAAACACGTCTGAATTACCAGTAAAACTTTCAGGTCTCAATAATGAGTCTTTTCAGAGTAAGCACCACCTATCTTTAAGCACAAAACTTAAAATCCAGTAATTTTCCGTGGCACACTGATACGTTGTTTTGCCACGGAATGCTATTCAAAAATGGTCTAGAGCCGATGGAGTTTGGCAAGAAAAAATCAAATGGTTATTGGTGTTTTTATATCAATAATCTTAAACAGTGATGTATGAACAGGCTAGGTAATGCATATGATTGTCCCAAACGTGATAAATTCCAAAAATATATCGCACTTGCAACAATACCAAGCCTGACATGTTTCTGTGGCAAAATAACATATCTGTAATTATCGCTAATAACTTTGCAATAAACATATGTTTGTAATTAAAATTTTACATATAATCACAATGTCTTTAAATATACAATCCTGCAAAATTTTAAAAGGCTACGACAATTTATTGCGAAGTTACGAACATGCAAACTTTAACTGTTTTTCTCCAAAAGTGAAAATTTCAAGTTATGTTATTTTGCCACAGAATGGCCGTACAGTGTAGCGCTTGCATAACTAACAGGCAATTGAAAAAAAATATATATTAATAAGAAAATTTTGATTTGATAGTAGATATCTGTTAATTAATGTGTGTTTGAAGTTTATAACACAATTCAAAAAAGAAATTGATGCTCAATAGGCTATTATAATTAATTTCATTACATGTAGTTTTTACTTGACCAAAATAGTATAGTGCCTTAGCTAGGCGTACATCATCGCATTTGTTAATAGTAGGTGACTATGCCTAGGCCTGTTACTTACGCTCAGGACAACTTCAAAATTTGTATAATAAATTGGTGTTTGTGGCAAGTTTCTAGTTGGGGTCCCAGTTCCAGGGTAATCTCTAAAATAACTTGTAGTATATAATAAGAGAAATCCATAATTCGTACAGTAACTGAAACAGTACTTACTACTAGCTAGGCAGTACTATGTACTAATACTGAGGCCTACAGTATTTAGTACATTATTTAGATAGGCCCTTCTTTTTCCATCTTTAATGCAAAGATTTAAAAAAAAATTCTCAATTTTTTTTTCAATCAAACTGTGGTGTAGAATAGTCTTTTAAGAACATTTTCCAACAAAAAATAATGTGACACAACCCTTCGTTATGGAGTTATGAATTTTTAAAAAACATGAGGTCAAGAATTTAGCCTCAAAGCTTATCATATTTTTGTTGGTTACGCACCACTGATTAGGTGGTGTGGACACAAGGTGGCAGATAGAGGGCGTCTAGTAGTCACATGATGTGAACCGCTCATGTCGCAACTCTATATAGGAACTCTAGCTGAAACCGGTCTACGCACTGTATAGCAGACGTAACCTTACTGAAAGTAAAACTAAAAGTTCTTTTGGCAATACACACTGTAGTTTGAAAATTGCATTAAAGTTGAATACTAACGACAGTGATATAGCGAATTTTCAATGGATGATGTAAAACATAAACTTAAGCCTTATCACGCAACATGTATCTCAATGGCTCGAACCACTTTATAAGAAATTTTCAAATGTACTGTACATGTATAATTTATTTATAAACGTGTCTTACTTGAAATATTGGAAATACCATACTTCCTAATTCTAAGTAAAAAACATATGCATCTATACTATATTTGTTTTATGTAATAAGGTTTACAATAAGTTAATGTTTACATATTCCACCAAAAAGTAATATTAATTTTGTTCCTGGTGTAGTTTTATGTGAGAGTTTTTAAATGAAATTGCTCAATTTATAGACTTAATAATATTAATATTTTAGCTAATTCTTAGAAAGATCTATATCACTTATGCAATTCTCAATGTTTCTGAATGTTATTGTGTATTCATGAGTTACTTGGGGAAAAGCATATAAAAAGTCAAGGCCAGACTCTTAAGAATCAATAATAAGATAATTAAAGGCACTTGGAATGGTAAATTTGAATTGTTACGGAATCAATGATTATATTCCAAAATAGAATATACTTATCACAAACTAATCATCCTTGAAATTTCCTCTACAATATTGTAAACATAAATTATTTTATGTGCTGGCTTAGATCCCTTTATAACCATTTGATAAAATTTATTATAGATTACATATTTTAGATTTATGTATTAAACATGGCAGTGGCAATAAGCAATGGCTTCTTTCTGTTGTAACGAGATATGCTTTGAGGGTAGAGGTACATTCCCTATATAAAGACACGTACAATAATGCCTATGATAATTATTTTGTGATAAAAATAATTTAGAGAAATATATTTCTCCTTCCACAGATCGATTAAAAGATAAGCAGCTATTTCATACAACATATAAAATGTTTATTGCAGTTCAGTTCTGTTATGGTAAGTATTGCTAGTTTGTGGGGAGACTACTATAACAACGGTTATAATAATAATATAATTTTTCCAAAACAAATACATGGTTATGATATACAAACACTAACCAAGAAACGGATAGGATTAGATAAAGGAGGAACAATTTAATGTGACTAAAATAAAAATGATTCATCTGACCAAAATTTACAAGAGAAAGTAACAGTTGTTGAAATATGGATAAAAATAACTGACTAAAAATGTGTAATTCAACTTAGAAATAGTGGGTGAGGTGTTTATGGTTCTTGTAGCCGTGGTAATGAGTTACATACAATCCGATTGGTTTATTAGTCGTTTTTTAATAAAATGAATAGGTACAATGTGATTTATGTTTATGTATACTTAGTTTACTTTATGTTTGTAACAAGTAAAAATGCAATGAATAATAGATGCGTACATATCATCTGTCATTTATGTTTTTAATTTCCTTTTTTTCTCCAAAGTTTTTTCGCTACTGTTCTATGTCATATTCTATATTGAATTTGCGAATGATGGTACAGAGGCCACAAACTTAAAATGGGCTGCTAGGATACTCCAGTCAATTGGTGATGGAGTGTTTCTCCTTATGCTCATATTAATGGGAAAAGGATATACTATAACAAGGTAAGTACCCAGCAAACAGATAATGTTATTATAACGTTGCTGAATGGTATAGCTAGGTATGTCAGAAGGGTTTATGTAATGTTACGTCAACATTGCAATATTATTTAGTTGTGAAATTATGTTATAAATACGTATATATTCATTCTACAAAAATTTAATTTGTGTACCAAACTATAACTTTTACCACATAATAACTAAAAATAATTGGCACCAACTGAATTAAATTCATAATTCCATTCTGCTAATAGCACAGTGCTCTGTACCTAGAAATAGACCAAAAGCCTCTATGACATTGGATTTTAATGGACTATTTAAAGTAGGGCAAGCTAAAATTCGACAAATAAACCTTATGCAAGTGTTCTCAGTATTAAAGCCCCATTTCTGGCAAAATTTCACTAAACATGATTTATTTTAGATAAAATTCATATGCATTACTCCAATTATTATAAACCATGGAAAAATATTAGCATACATTTTAGTTTTATGCAAAAAGATAAAAAAAATGAAAAATACAGACTATTTCTCATAGGAGATTACCATTTTCTTGACGAATTCTTCATTACTAGGCAAATTCAGAATTTGTAGTTGTATCCGCTGGAATTTTCTCCTTTTTGTGTATACTTTATACAGTCAATAAAGTGCGCCCTTAGTTTTTGTACTTCCCATCTCGCACACTTTGGTCAATCGAGTAGGCCTGAGATATTTTTGTGTAATTGTCAAAAATCATTTTTTAACAATTTGAAATAATTCCTATGAAATATTATATTTCACAAATGTATCGCATAATCAAACATAAAAAATTTATTTTTTGTGTGGAACACAAAAAAATCAAATTTCTTATTTTACATTTTTTTTTTATGTGTAGAAATCTCTAAGATCAGTTAAACTAGCAATTTCGTATTATATTTATAAATCCTTATAAAATATATAAAAATCTGATGTTTCTTAACAAATGAAATTTTGCCAGGAATGGGGCTTTAAGCAGGAATGCTAAGAAAGGGGTTATCTTGAAAAAGAAAAGCTTTCCATTCACCAAAAAGCTTAGGGTGCACGAAGGCCTAGACAAATTATTTGAAGTACAGTACAAGAAAAGATCGGAACACTCTTTTGCTAGTTACACCTGTATCCTAATTTTGGCTAAGGCAAGACTTTTCTTATAGCTTGTTTAGCAAACCTGCCATGTGCCAATAATGATTTTGAATAAAAATTAAATTTTATTTTTTGACCATTAGTGTGCCACAAAAAAATGGACATTTCAAAAGTTTTTTTTTTTATCTTTACTTTTATTCCGCCCACCGCTGCCTTGAAATCTTCAAAAATATGATATGTAATTTTTCCTAATTATATACATTTAAAGCATATAACCATCCCATTATTACACTGTTTACATTCACCAATAACATTTTATTTTTATTTACTCCTCCATTTGGATATTTTTAGCAAAACCCTTTGCTAAATATAAAAACAAAATTTTATTTACAATTTTTTTCCGACCCTCTGATGATAAAAAAAAAAAACAAGTTTGCGAAACAAGGTATAAAAAGTCTTGCCTAAATGATGTGTTCTTATGAAGTAGCTATGTAATCCTCTCTAAGACTGTCTAATGTACATCTAGGAATATTTGTGGAATTTTAATATCTAATGTAGCCTACTGTTGTTATTTTGATAAAGCATGCATTTTTATGAGTTAGTTAAGTCAGTCAGTCAAACAAATACATCAAGCAGGGGACATTATTCACAAATTCTATGCTTTTAATGTTGTACATATGTTGAGTATTTATTGTTTAAATCACTACTATTACTTGTAAGTACAATTAGACTAATTTTGAATGGAGCACAGAAACACTAAGAGAGTTCCATGCTCTATGCAACTAATCTATAATCACCATGGCAACATAGCGATTAATCAATCTCGCTTACGTTAACAAACATTGGCTATTTAAACTTGACATATTCATGAACTTTATGAATATTGATGAGCTATTGATTACATAAATGTTAATTTGAGATTAGTTTGGCTTTATTTGTGATTGGGAAATGTATGTGGATGAAATTGTTCTTGTTGGCTTTCTTTATAAATTCATTATTTTTGACTCAACCATTTGAAGTGTAGGGTTGGTTATTATAGCAAAAGAGGATTCTTGGATTAATTGTGCTTTGCTTAGGCTGTGGAATATCACTGTATAAATATGATTATATAATTAATAATATTAGTATATCTATTTAATGTCTTATTGTACTTGTTAATGTTAGATTTTGGTATTGTAAGCAATAATTCTTATTGATAGTTTATTATTATAATGTTGCTATTATTGTTATTATCACTATTATTGTCACTAACATAGTCATTTTCTTCAAACTTTCATTTAAAAAAATTCCTTAATTCATTTTTTATGTATTTTTTTTTCCAAACTATAGAGGGCGCATTAGCCATTCTGGGACAGTGAAAATAGCTGTTTTAATGTGTGTCTATATAGTCTTATATGCTGGTTTGTTTTTCTATGAGTCTTCGGTAAGTTTATTTCATAATTCACAATATTATATTATTAAAAATATAATTCATATCATATAATATTTTTTATAAACTTGGCTGAATAATTTTTTATGTAACTTAATATTTTTACTCATTTACAATATGTTACAGTTTGTTTTTAATATTTATTTATTAGTTTTAATATTTTAATGCTATATAATGTATAACTAATTTATCATTCTTTATGTTTTTTTGTTTTTTTTTCTGTAGCAATTTGATCCAGGTGAAGTGCTGTACCTGTACGAGAGTCCAGCTGGGTTCGCTCTTATTGGTCTTCGTGGTTTCTGTTGGTTTTGGTTTATCTACGCAATATTCTTCACACTGAAACATTATCCAGAAAAAGGATCCTTTTATTACCCTTTCTTCTTTATGTATTCTGTATGGTAGGTACCTCCCTCTTGCACTTTAAAAGAGAACTAGCAAAATGATTTTTTGTCCTACATGAGATTTTTGATATGCCATTAATAATAGAACCAACCTTAAAATCGTTTTTTGATAATTGGTTATTAAGTTATAGGCCATTATATACGATTTTACCGTGACGTCACTGGCGAAAAAAGTAACAAAAGATCGTGTAAATAGCGCTGCGTAGGGTATCAGCCGCGTGCGATCTTTGCGTGCATGCTGTAACCATGGTTGTTGTAACTTGCATATCAAGTCATAGGCCTATAACTGCATCAACGGTTGTCAACAGAAGAATTATAGCTATGGTTACAGCATGCACACAAAGATCGTACGCGGCGGATACCCTACGCGGTTTTATTTACACGATCTTTTGTTACCTTTTTCGCCAGTGACATCAGGATTAAATTGTATTCAATGGCCTATAACTCCAAAAGAAATTGCCAAAAAGTGATTTTAAGGTTGATTATATTATTAATGGCATATCAAAATTCCCCTCTAGAACTAAAAATCAGTTTGCTAGTTCCCTTTTAAAATAACGCTCACTATCCACATGTTATCCAAACCTAACAATGACTACCATTATTGCTACTCTACTGAACAACCTACTTATTTAGTTCTTACTACTGTACTACCGAAAATTCCAACACTAGTCTATTCCAGGGATTGCAAGTCGCTTGTGAGAGTCTTCCAGAAAATAGTGTCTCCCGCACTCCTGCGAGCCAGCAAAAACCTCTCAACTAACCCATCGCCCGCAAAGTTTATGTTTGCATGTTTTTTTGGGCGGTTTTTTTTGTAGGTGGGGTGGGTGGGGTTGTGAAGTGCATAAAGCTTTTTTGCATTATGTGCTATATAAGTCAAACTTATTATTATTGTTGTTACTAATTACTGTGTTAATTGTCTCCTTTATGTTAGCTGGCCATGGTTATCGCTGCATGCGGCAAAACATCCCTGCTTTTGCACACATAATATCAAATTTACTGATAATAGTTGGTTTTATTTTTGTAGTAAAAAAACCCATTAAGCCCAATTTTTAGTAAAATTTTAACTAGTTTGAAACTTTTTTTCCCCTCCTTATTTCTCGCAATATCTGAGACCATCACTTTGTTTTACAGTTTATTACTCAATTTCTGAAATATTAGCAGTGATTGGAAATGATTGATTTTAATATATTGTTTGTGTTATCTTTTAAGGTTTATTGCATTACCCATCATGATCTTAGTTGCTACCTTTGGAATGCCAAAATGGTGGCGTGAGAAAATTATGAATATCATCGAGCTCTGTATTGCTTATCTTGGGCAAGTTATATTTCTGGTAAGTTAAAATGATGACAAAGATATTCAGTATTCAGACGTTTTTAATGGGGGTACGACTGGGAAACAAGCATTTTGGGGGGGGGGGGCGCGGCGTGCACTGCCGTAGATACGTCACCGCTTTTGCTTTCATGGCCCAATTGCTAGGACTAACTGTTTTTCGCATTGGCATACTTTCAGATTTTACTGATTTTATTTTTAGACAAGTGATCAATGCAATGACTATATTCCTTTTCCCAACAGATTTTAACACGACCATCCGCCGCAAATAGTAACTTCCCGTATCATGTACGAACATCTCAGATCGGGGTTCTCACAACACCATCAGATGGAAATTCAAATAATGTTGATAACTTTATGCACCATAGTTATGGGGCGAACCCTCTCGGCCATGATCAGTACCGCCCAAATTTTACAGAAATGTTCACCGTGGAAAGTTCAAATCCATATTCATCTACGACATATAGTAATGGTGTACAGGTTAGTTGGATTTTCTAGTTTTAATTCAATCCTTATTATCTATTAGATTTCGTCGCCATAGCATCGAGGGGATGGTGACAGGCAGGGCAACCACTTAAGGTGAAACAAAAGTGATAAAGAAATGTCATCCATTTTGGACATTTAATACCTAAAAAGTCGTAGTTTCTCTCGCAGGGGCCCCGTTTAGTCCCTGCCACCCAAACATGCTAGGCCCATAGACACAGCTGCTAATAACAAAGCACTGTCATATGGTACCATGACATATGTAATACTCTATATTATATTCAATTCTAGCACTCAGGAACATCAGATTGACTAGTTACATAGCTACAGTAGTTTGACCAAAATTGATTCAATGCGAATGTGGCTAGCATGCATGAAATGTTTAAATTTTCAGAATTCTATTGGTATTTTTTCGTGTTTAATA